AATAGTTCTCATACTCTTATAAAATGGAATGCATCTCACAACTGTAACTGGCTGTTCTTCTATAATCACATGGCATTTTAGATTTACTAAAGTGTTAGAATACTTAATCCTGAAATAAATGCCTATATGTGTATTTTTTTGGGGGGGGATGAAAAATCTATTTCCTTCAACAATACTTAGTCAGTTGTCAGTACAGTCGCTCAGTCGTGTCCCACTGCGACCCCATGAATCCCAGCACGCCAGGCCTCCCTGTCCGTCACCAGCTCCCAGAGTTTACTCAAACTCATGTCCATCGAGTCGGTGATGCCATCCAGCCATCTCATCCTCTGTTGTCCCCTTTTCCTCCTGCCCCAATCCCTCCTAGCATCAGGGTCTTTTCCAATGAGTCAACTCTTCACATGAGGTGGCCAAGTATTGGAGTTTTAAGACTCCTTAAATATCAATGTGGTGAGGGAAAAAAAACTGTCATAAAGACCTTTTGTTATGAAAAGACATACTAGTTTCTTGGAGGCTTACACATAATGCTATGCTGTTAAAAAGTAAATGAAGATTATCAAAAAGGTAGCAATGTGACTATAATGGCCATGTAGAAAATCTATTAATTCTACAAGCCAAGTTAAATGCTCCTGAAAGTTAGATTTGACCATGATGTAATGCCACAAATATAAACACCAATGGAATTTTTCAAATAAAAAATTGAGATTTTCAGAATCTAGATTTAAATAGGTATTGTGCAGAATATAAAACAATGATCAGCTCAACTGTTTGGGATCAACCTGAAAGTTTGAAAAATGCAGAAGTCAAGTCTAGTGTTATATATACTTCCTACTGAACGGTCTGATGAAGACAATGACTCACAAAGATACCGAGATCCATTTAATAGTTTCTGAAGATTTTTTCCTGTAAAATGGCTTGTATTTCCACAGATACAATAGTGAAGAAATAAACTTTTCAATTTGACATGAAATATAAAAGAACAGTTTTACAAATATATCCATAAAATTTAACTGCTCATAACACTATACATGGTAAATATGACCACCCTCTTAGCTTCTAGACTATTTAATACAGAGAAACAATCTGTCATCTCAGCTAAAAAGAAACAACTTCCCTTTCATTGAGTTTTTGTTTGTTGAGAAATAGTTAAGTAGAACTGGAAAAATATTTGCTTTTCCCTATCTTCCTCTAGGGATTCTGCATAAGGGTGAAAACTTGAGAGGATATTAGTTTTACTAAAAAGAAATACTGAACCTTCTGTTTTACTGCTTCAATAATGTGTACATTCTTTTAGAAAGGTTCTGGAGTTGTCTTACTGGTCTTTGACTGGGTCATAAAGAAATGATAACAGAGCCATGCTCTCCTTCTAGCACTCAAGGAGGAACTTCATACCGTCTGCCCATGAAGGCTAAACTGTGGGGATGTAAGAGCTACAGCCAAAAGAACAGAGCTGGATCCAGCTTAAAATCAAGATTCTGTTGTTTGTCTATCAGAAATTCCACTGTTACAAGGCAGGATTGCATGAAGCTGACAAGTGTTTTTTAGCCAGCATTAACAAGGTTGTGATCATATATCCTGTCAATCCAAAGAACAGAATGGATTTAAAAAGGAACATTGATCAAAATCATAGAACTGCAGGTAACAACTTTGTAACCTATGTTACACTTAAATTAAGAAGGAGAAAACATGCTCCTTTTTAAACTCTCAAAAAGTGCCCAAATAACAATACTGAGCTCCCAAACAGCAGGGGTTGAAAAAAATTTTCTTTTTTAATGTAAGCAAAAACAAAGCACTTGAAGCTTTATGAAGAAAAGTGTTCTCCTCAACTTTAGCTAATATAGTAGATGTAATAACTTAAAAATAATTTCTCTACTGATCCTGGAAATAAATTCTACTACAATCATGTGTATGCCAGTTCCTGGCATATTTCTGCATCCAGATTCATTAGTCTCCTTAATGGAGCCCATCATTTTTCCAATGGCTTTCTCCTTTCTTTAAACCCTAACCCTGAAATTCTATAACCAGTTATGTTACGTGGCTTCCCTGAGGCACAAAGGTACCAAACTCTATAATTAACTATCGAGGAATGATAAATATGCTATTTATATTAAAAAATTTTAATTCTTTTGGGCTACAGTTAGAAAAAAAAAAACACAGAAAGCATAATACTTACTCTGCCATGTGAACTGTAGCCCTTCTTGCAAAAAGTGAAACCAAATAAGGAAAATGTAGAGTTGCAGCATGCATGGCCTGGCAGCACCGATTAGTGATAATAAAAAAAAATTCCAGGCTAGAAAAATATTCAGAGTTGTATCCCATTAACTCTGAACTTTTTTTTTTCTTTTTCTTCTTTTTTGGTAATAAACTGGCATAAACAATTGGGGGGGGGTTGGAAAACTATGGGAATACATCACTGGGGTTTTTCTGGAAACGTAGTCACAAAAGGCATTTTGGTCAGGCTGAGATCAGGATAATTGGTCTGCAATTTCCTATGTATACACCTGGGAAGTGGGATTTGTCCTTGAATGTGATGTCAAGCAAGACATAATAACAGGCATGACCTCTGAGAAGTTACCTTTTCTGAACTATATGACTCTACTCTGAGCTAGAGTTCTTTATTCTCACAAATGAAATTGCTCTCAAATACGCGGGGGTAGGGGGAGTCTCATTAATCAACGTTAGAAGATCTTACTGGAAGTGGCCAAGATGAGCCTGGCTTCCTTCTATAGAGGTGCAACCTGGCTGTTGTTCCCCAGGCAGGGGAAAGGGAACCTCACTTGGAAGTCAGAAGAAAAGATGTGGCACTAACAGAGGGTGGGTCACTGTTACCCCTTCCAAGAGCTTGGAATTTCTTACCCGAGTTCACTAAAAGTCAAAGCTTTCAAGTTGGAACATAACTATTTTGGGGATAGGTTGCATGTAGAAATACTAGACTTTAACTTCTATAGTCCTTGAAATAGAAAATTATATCAGATGGTAACTTTTTGGGGAAAAAAACATTTTTGATAGTCTTGCATCTAGGAAGGCTAGATATTACCTATTTATCTTACAAGATGCATTTTAGGGTATCAAGACTCCTCAAATCACCTTCTTCATATGGCAAGAAAAGGGACTGTGTGCTTCCTGCATCATTTTGTGGAGCCTAAAGCGGCACAGATCACATTTGTAAAAGCTAACCATGGGAGACTCTGGGTATGTCAAAAGGCATTTGATATTCTGGGCAATTTCATTTTTTTCTTTCTTTCTCTGCAGGTTGAGCAAGCTATACAGAATACAGTAAGCTATCAATAAGAGGACTGTTGTTGGATTTTCACAGCACTTAAAAATTACCAAAACAAAACCACCTCATCATGAACAATAATCTCCACTAAAAAGTAAAGCTATTTGAAAACTTATAGGCTGAAATTTTTATATATTAAATCAAGTTAAGCAGCAGCAATCAAGATGAATAGATCTTATCACGTTAAGGAAAAGGGCTTTCAAAATGGTTAGAACAAATGAAAATAGGCAAAATATTTGCTAGCAGGCAAACCATGGAATAATCCAATTAGAACAGGAATACAGTATATTAGAATCATATAAATTATATATCTTTACAAAGGTTAAAAAAATGCAGCACGAATCTGCAATGGTCAATTTAAGAGGATGTTAATTTAAACATAGTTGCTCCGTGTGGCAGGAATCTTTCATCCCAGCCAGCTCTGGCAGGGGCATGTCCTGAAGGCTCTTTGCATCATGGAAATGGTGATACACTGGTACCGAGCACAGAGAACAAACATCCAAGAATTATTATTCAAAAATGAAACTAACAGAGAGGGCTGGTGGAGCTCATATGAAATTCTGATTTAATTATTCCTCAGTAAACACTCATTTGCTCTCTTGAAATCAGGAATTTCAAACGCTCTCTGCAGATGTACCACTTGGTGTTGTGTATCTAATGATTACATTTAAATTTAGTTTGATTTGCAAACATTTTCAAAACTTACAGGGCTCTGTAAGCTGCAGTGGAAGGCGACAGATGGCAGAAGGGGAGTGAACAAAACTGACTGCATCGTTGTGTTATGTTGCTTTTAAGTTCACAGAGTTTTGGCTTTCTTAAGAAAAACTTAGGAAACCCCAACAAGTGGTTTTAAAGAGTAAAACCTTATTTCTAATCGCTCCAATTATTCAGTAAGCAAATGAACTTGATATTAGATAACCTGGGCCATGTTTCCTGCTGCAATAATCACCCTCATTTAATGAATGTTTTATAAGAGTTGTTACATTTTAATCAACCAAATAGCTCTACCCATGCAAGATGAGTATCACGGACACAGACCATGGCAGATCAAAAATAACAAAAGGCAGACCAAAAAGTTAGAGAAAATTCTTTGAAATGCCAAGATATTTGATGAATGTGTGTATAAAGTAATTAAATGCCACTGAAGTTAAAAAAAAATGACAACATATTCCCTCCCCTCAAAAGAAAAATAACAAAAGCCGCAGATTTCAAAACAACCACCTGTACTTAAGGTCTCCTGTCCCCAACATCATCTTACAGAGCCCCTCTTTTGGTATCTAGTCAGATTCTAACCTGTATTAAGTATTTCCAGATAGGGCATGACTAAAACCTACACCACGCAGCTCCGAAGGTTGGAATTAAGAGCCAACAACTTTTGAATACATTTCTTCTGGAGTTTTAAAATAGGATTTAAACTCCTGTCTCAGTTTACCAAAGAAACCCCAAGGTTGAAATGAAAGCATGGCATTTTAAATCCAATTGTTACAAAGGTATTACGGTTTAATCAAGCACACTTCAATGATGATGCCGCTGTTCTGAGCATGCAACGCACCACGGTTATGGTCAACGCCTGGCATGTTTCATCACCGTGCCCCTCTTTCTTCCTAGCTTCAGGACCCCCCCTCCCCCTAATAAACGGCATTATAAAAAGGTAAAATCTAGAGTGAGTGGCAAAATCTTCACAGTAACTTGTTAATAAAGTCGTCGCTGGCTCTTGAGGGCATCAATCAACTGGACCTTGGAAAATCAGTTTGATGCAGTTCTGCTCCCCAAGCAGCTGCGTGGCACAGAAAGGGCAGGCGGCATGAAAGGCGTGAGTTCCGTGAGGCAGCGGGATCTGAGCCCAGTATTTCGCAGACTTCTCTGAGCACACGTGTCCGCAAGGGGTGAAAGCGTGAGTGGGCGGTCCCGCGTCTACGTAAAAGCCCGCCTCGCAGCCGAGCCAGAGCGGCACGTAGGGGCCCACAGTCCTGCACATGGGGCACTCCCGCTCGTTGGCCTCCGTGTCGCTGCGATGGCCCCAGTTGTGGTAGCCGTGCACGTGGCCGCAGCTGAGGTACGCCCAGGGCTGCTTCTCCTCCACCACCTCTTTCCTGTTGATGCTGGGGAAGGCTAAGGTGTTGAGCCCCACTGGACACTGCGGCCGCGCCGCGTTGATCTCCTGCCGCAGCGCTTCGATGTGCTTCTGGGTTGGGGTGTGAAAGAGGCCATCCGCCGTCCTCCAGAGCAGGGTGGCCCCGCACAGGTCGATGAGGGAGCCATCCTGCAGGACGTTGGTCTCAGTTTCCACCTACAAGTTTGACAGACACGTCTCTTTAAAGCAAAATTTGGCAAATCTCGCTGGTGGTCTTTCCTGGTAAAGATCAGCTATGAAACAAACACGGGGCAGTTTATCCCCCGGCCTCCTTGAAAAACAGGACTAGAAGGGTAACTAGCCCCACTGAACCTCCCTTTCCTCATCTGAACATTGGATATAAATCATATATGTGATACACATAAAGGCCCGAGCTTGAATACAGTTTACTTTTTACACGTTCAATTAATGGAGTGATTTATTTTTCTTTTTAATTTTTTCTTTTTTAAAAAATTTATTTTAATTGGAGGATGATTACAGTGGTTGTAATTGTAGTGGTTATTTTAACAAACTTCACAAATCTCCTTAGATTTTTATGTTTCCTCCTTAACAACAGCACAACACCTCCTTGGTCTCATAAGGCATAGGAGATGTCCAACCAGTTCATCTGGTGAAGACTTAGGCTGATTTCGACCACAGTCAATTCAGAAGACCCTTGGTGGGCCTTGCAATAAATACTGCACTGCTGCCAGTGACTCCCGGTGACCTATAGCTTCACACAATCTTATCATTTATGCTGCATTCCTAAGGTCTGAAGCAGACACATTGACTGTGAGCTTCAGAACATCATTTAAAAGACTGGCAGTGCTACACACACCAAGTGCTCACAAACTGATTAACAGCTGACAAGCAGCACAGTTAGACATGGTCCATCCCTGCCTCCATGTGCCACCTGCGCTCTCTGGATGCACTCAGGTGAACTGCCCTCTGGAAATGCATGAGTCTCCTCTGCCTACAGTTCTCTGTCCGGGCTCACCCCATCCTAGCTTACCCCAGGGCCTGGCAAACTCCCACTCATCATTCAAGGCTTCCTTGGATGGCACTTTGCCTAGAAGTTGTCCTTCAATAATGAAAGCACTCCTTCCCTAATAAAGTATCAAATACTGGTAGTTAGAAAAAGGTAAAATCCCAACAAAATGATAGACCTTAATATTTTATAGGAAAAACACAGAGACAGGTTTTCAATAGCCTTTAAGTTGCTGAATCTCTCTCCTCACCCCACCGCCCCCATGAACATCTCCTGATCTCCTCTCTTCTTGCTGGATGTCAGGAGTTTCCCTTCTCTCTTAACAGATAATTCCTAGGGGAGGTTTCATCTCTGCATGAAACTGGGTAAGAAGAACACTGCTGTGGTAATAAATTGGAGTTTGGGTCACATTTTTTCCCCCCCTTATGATTACTTTTTATTCATTGATTTTTGTTTATATCAGTGATACATACATATATATCTATTCTTTTTATTTTATTTTTTTCTGTGATCCTGCAGTTTATTTTGAGCTTCTTACATGAGTTTTATTATTATTATTTTTTTTTCCATTTATTTTTATTAGTTGGAGGCTAATCACTTTACAATGCCGCAGTGGGTCTTGTCATACATTGACATGAATCTATTCTTTATAAAATTACTTTTAATTGAAGGATAATTGATTTACAGTTTGTGTTGGTTTCCGCCAAACATCAACATTCATCAGTCATAGGTATATCTATGTCCCTTCCCTCTTGTACATCCCTCCCAAAATTCTTTTCCCATTTAGGTTATTACAGAATACTGAGCAGAGTTCCCTGTGCTATACAGTAGGTCCTTATTGGCTAATCTATTTAAATATAGTAGTGTGTTTATGTCAATCCCAAATTCCCAATTTGTCCCTCCGCTGCCTTTCCCATTTGGTAACCACAGGCTTGTTTTCCACTCTGTGAGTTTGTTCGTTTTGTAAGTAAAAGCATTTGTATCACTTTTTAAAAGATTCTTCATGTAATAGAATATCATGATATTTGTCTTTCTCTTCTTACTTACTTCAGTTAGTATGATAATCTCCAGTTCTATACATCTTGCAATGAAATGAGGTTATTTCATTCGTTTTAAGAACTAAGTAATATTCCACTGTATATATGTATCACATCTTCTTTTTGTATAAAATGTTTAATTGATTGGTCTTTTGGGGAAATTTGATGCATCACCAGTGTATTACAACTGAGCCATTAATCTTGTAGCTTCATCGACATTAACTGCTGTTTTCATGTCACTGCTGACAAATCAGCTGTTTCTGCAGAGGTTCAAGGGAAAGGCCTTTTGAGAAGTTTGCATTTCTTTTGCATATCTACAAAAGCTTTATTCACTCTGTTAACTTTTTCATCATTAACAATGTTTATCTTCTTATGATTAGTGGTAACTGGTTTTGCTTTATTTTTAACCTTAAAGCTTTTTTGGCTGGCTATGTGGAATACATTCCTAGATTTCTGCTCTATTAGTTTGTTCTTGGCTGTGGTCTCTCACCAGACCTCCAATACTCTTGTGCAGTTGGCTCAAGTTCCAGGTGACACCATCTCAAACCACAGCTTCTTTATCCACTCATCTGTTGACATTTAGATTGTTTCCCTGTCTTGGCTATTGTAAACAGTGCTGCAGTGAACACTGGGGTATATGTATCCTTCCAAATCATGAATTTCTCTAGATGTATGCCCAGAAGTAGAACTGTTGAATCACATGGTAACTCTTAAGATTTTTACCTGGAGATGCCATAGATGGAGGAGCCTGGCGGGCTACAGTTCATGGTTGCAAAGAGTCAGACATGACTAAGGGACTAACACTTTAATTTCACATTACCAACACTGTAGGCGAATTCCTTCCCTTTTCTCTAAATCCTCTTCAGCATGTATTGTTTGTAGATTTTTTGATGGCCATTCTGACTGGTCTCAGGTGATATCTCACTGTAGTTCTGATTTTCATTTCTCTAATAATTAGCGATGGTAAACATCTTTCATGTGCCTGTTTGCCACTGGTCTGTCTTCTTTGGAGAAATGTCTTCTGCTCAGTTTTTGATTTTTTTTTTTTTTATATTGAGTTGCATGTTTTTAAATTTTGGAGATTAATTCCTTGTGGTGTGCATCATTTACAAATATTTTCTCCCATTCTACGGATAGTGTCTTCATTTTGTTTCTGGTTTTCTCTGCAGTGCAAAAGCTTTTGAGTTTAATTAGGTACCATTTATTTTTGTTTTTATTTTCATTATTCTAGGAGACAGGGCCAAAAAAAATATTACTATGATTTTTGTCAGTGTTCTGCCTATGTTTTCCTGCAAGGGTTTTGTACTCTCAGGTCTTATATTTAGGTCTTTAACCCATTTTGAGTTTATTTTGTGTATGGTATTAAAGAATGTTCTAATTTCATTATTTTACATGTAGCTGTTCAGTTCTCCCAAAACAATTTATAAAAGAGAATATTTTTCCTCCATCATATAGTTTTGTCTCCTTTGATATAGGTTAATTGACCACAGGTGCCTAAGATTATTTCTGGACCTTCTATCTTGTTTCATTGATATATACTTCTGTTTTTGCACCAGTACCATACTGTTCTGATGACTGTACTTTTGTGGTATAGTCTAAAGATGGGGAAACTGATTCCTCCAGCTCTGTACTTCTTTCTCAAGATTGCTTTGACTATTTAGGGTCTTCTGTGTTTCCATAAAGATTTCTAATTCTATGGAAAATGCCATAGGTAATTTGATAGAGATGGCATTAGTTCTGTAGATTGCCTTGGCTAGTATGGCCATTTTCATAATATTGATTCTTTTAATCCAAGAACATGATATGTTTTTCCACCTGTCTGCATCATCTTTGTTTTCTTTCATCAGTGTCTTATGGTTTTCAGGATACAGGTTTTTGCTTCCTTAGGTAGATTTATTCTTAGGTATTTTATTCTTTTTGATGTGATGATAAATGGAATTGTTTCTTTAATTTCTAATCTTTTGTTGTTAGTGTATAGAAATGCAACAGATTTCTATGCATTAATTTTGTATCCTGCCACTTTATGAATTCACTGATGAGCCCTAGTAGGTTTCTGGTAGCATCTTAGGATACTAAGGATTTGCTATGTACAGAATCATGTCATCTTCAACCAGTGACAGTTTTACTTTTTTTACAGTTTAGATTCCATTTATTTATTTATTCTCTGACTGCTATGACTAGGACTTCCAAAATTATTCTGAATAGAAGTGGTGAGAGTGGACCTCCTTGTCTTATTCCTGATCTTAGAGGAAATATTTTCAGCTTTTCATTGTTGAGTGTGATGTTAGCTGTGGGTTTCTCATATATCACCTTTATTACATTGAGATATGTTCCTTCTGTGGTCACTCTCAAGCATTTTTATCCAAAATGGATGTTGACTATTATCAAAAGCTTTTTCTGCATCTTTTGAGATGATCATATGATTTATATTCTTCAGTTTGTTGATGTGGTATAGCACACTGACTGATTTGCTGATATTGAAAAATTCTTGCATCCCTGATATAAATCCCACTTGATCATAGCGTATGATCCTTTTACTGTATTGTTAGAGTAGGTTTGTTAGTGTTTTGTTCAGGAGTTTTGCATCTGTATTGATTATATTTGCCTGGGGTTTTCTTTTTGCATGTATGATATCTGTCTGGTTTTGGAATCAGGGTAATGGTGGTCTCACAGGATGAATTCAGAAGTGTTCCTTCCTCTGCAATTTTTTGTAGTAGCTTCAAAAGGATAAGTGTTAACTCATCTCTAAATGTTTGGGTAGAATTCACCTGTGAAGCGATCTGATCCTGGACTTTTGCTTCTTGGAAGTTTTAAAATTACTGGCTCAATTTCTGCACTGGTAATTGGTCTGTTCATTTTTTTCTATTTTCCCCTCGTTTAGTTTTGGGAGAGTGTACCTTTTAAAGAATTTGTCCATTTATTCTAGGTTATCCATTTTGTTAGCATATAGTTGCATGTAGTAGTCTCTTATGATCCTTTGTATTTCTGTGGTGTGGTTTTAATTTCTCCATTTTCATTTGTAATCTTAATGATTTGGGCACTCTCCCCTTTTTTTCCTTTTTTCTTTTTTTAAAATTATCTACAATTGCTTTACAACATTGTGTTAGTTTCTGTTGTACAAGGACGTGAATCATTTATATGTGATATATATA